GGCGTTGAGAAGGAAATATTCTATTCAAAAAATTGAACCCGAAAAAACAACACGATGCTGCCTCAGACTCTATCGAGTACAACTTTACAAAATCATGTATATGCTACAAGATTTCAGGAGTCAGTATTGCAATTATCTTCAACAAACTCATAAGCAATGAAAACTGATAACCAGAGCAAGTATTAAATGTATAATTCTCTATATTTTTTAACTGGGGTATGCAATTATCAGAGCAGGAATAAATTTCTAGGGCAAGGTCACACAGAGTCATCAATAGAACCCCCTCACTGGTAACCGTATGCAAGTATCGGAACATACGTGGCTGGCATGTCACCACCATGCAAATCCTTGTCAAACATCTAAAATCGCTGTGCTGACTGCGTATCACCAAACACACACATCAGGGAATCACTGTGTTCCTGCAGCAGCCTGTGAGTCAATAATGACTTATTCTGGGCAAAGGCTGCCTTCTTAAGAGTTAAAACACATTTCCATGTGTGAATGCCCGTTTTGTTACATTACATCCTGAAGACATGGCCCAAGCACAAGGTGACCAACAGGCTCATTACCAGCACCTGCAAACAGAAACTGCCATCTGAAACATTATGGAGACATCAGTCAGCCAGGGACAACTGCTGCTGGCTATCCTGCTTCCTACGGAACGCTACTTTTGTTTCTCTCTACCACTGTTTCCTTTCCTTATTTCCTCCCCCCCCCCCTTTGTTCTCTTCTAATTTTAGCAAATACCACTAGAAAGCTTGGTGTCTCTTCTTGCTTTCCTACCCTTTATAAATTCACAAAGCCATGCCTCTTACAGAATACCATTCAGTACCTAATTTTTATGAATTCATTTTTATCCTTTGCTTAATACAGTGCTATGAATAAGAAATGATACCAAGGGCTGAGATCTGCATTCTGTAAATCTTACTATTAGAGTCTATTCTACCATCCAATAAAAAAATATACTATAAAGATAACACAAGGAACACATTAAAATGGAAAAGATACCAAAAGCTAGTGTAAAAATAAAAAGATCATGAGAGAAGGTTTAGAATAGGAAATGAGAAAGTTAATGTAAGGAAACAGTAATGTAAGGAAACAGAAGAGCAAAACTGTAATAACAATACAACTGTCATTAGGTTATTTTGTTATAAGGTTGTTTTGGCATAAAAGTTCTTTCTTGGAATCTGGGGACTGTAAGCTAGGTGCTTGGTAACAGATTAAACTAACAATATGAATAAGTCACAATTCCAGTTTACCTTGAAATTTATAGTTCTAATTCTTTTAAGAGTGAAGATGATCAATAAGAACCACTAGTCCATGGGGTCGCAAAGAGTCGGACACAACTGAGCGACTGAACTGAACTCAACTGAGGAAATTTTTAATATGAAAATCACATCTGGCTTCAAACACTTCCTACTTGTACATGAACGGTAAGGTTCAAACTGAGTCAAGCACTAGTCTGCTAGAAACCAAGCAGTGAGTTAGCAGGCCAAATGAGAAAGCACAGAAATGCAACTTCCTAAGTAGGGCATATTTTAAACACTAACTGATAACCCCCCCCCCTTTTTTTTTTCATTATGCAATTCTTGTCATCAAAAAAATACTATTGTGAAGAGAGAACACAGACACTCCATTCTCAGTATCTCAACTCTTTTGCAGGCTGAATGAGATGAGCTTTTATAACAGGCAGTACACTATAGCAGTTAAAAGCATGTTCTCTGTAGCTAGAATGTCTAGGTTTGAGTCCTTCCTCTGGGCTTAAAGGCTGTAAGACCTCAGCAAAGCTGCGTAATCCTTCTGTGCTGTGGGTTCTTGGGCTGTCAATTGGATAGGGTCGTTGTGAGGATAGGTTAATGTTTCTTAGTGCTAACTAACAGTGTGGCACAAAAAGCATTGTGTTGTCCTCAACACCTTTAGCTGTTCCTCCAGACTTTCGAACAATCTAAGATCTACATCCCTACTGTTGCTGATTTTTCTTCTCCATGTTTCTCTTACGCATAAGTCACTAACATACCACACATCTCATTCCCCACCCCCCCCCACCCCCACATCTCATTTATTTGTCCTGTGAATTTGTCTCCCAAGTGGAAAATTAAGCCAGGCAGTTTTGTTTTATTCATTGATGTATGCCCAGAGGGCTTCCCAAGTAATGTCAGTAGTAAAGAACTGTACTGGTTCGATCCCTGAGTTGGGAAGATCCCCTGGAGAAAGAAACAGCAAGCTACTCCAGTATTCTTGCCTGGAGAATCCCATGCACAGAGGAGCCTGGCCAGCTACAGTCCACAGTGTCACAAAGAGTTTGACAAGACTGAAGTGACTTAGCATGCATGCACATGCTCAGAGCCTAGAAAAGTGACAATCAGATAAAAGATACCCAATGAACACAATAAATCAATTCTAAAACACACATATTTTTACCTTTTTTAACATCTCTGAAATTGGAATGCAATTTAATTATACACTTACACCTCCCAACACTAATTCTTTTTTTAGGGATTATATAAAATATACGACAATTACTTAGATTTGATGAAAGACTGTATGTGTCAATGAACAAATTAATGAATGAAAGAACTAAAGGGACAAATAAACATTTTTACCTACACAAAATTCCTGTACTCTGAAGAAGTGTGTTTCTATCTCACTTTCCATGATCACAAGCAGATCATACTAACAAAAGGCTACTTATTGTCTAGATCGTTTTACTCAGGCATAAAACCTCCCCAATGATGAGTCACTTGTTATCATTTGCCTAGTTGATCAGTGACAAATATTCATTAGCTTTCTGAGTGAATTATTTCTAAATTAAACTAGAACTATTCCTTTGGAAATGACATTCCTGTGAAAGCTGCTGTTGTTTATATTTATTCTTATAAGGAGTGTAAATACAAATATAATGCTCACAAAATTCTTTAAAAGAATATTTCACAATGACAAGCTATATATAAAGAGTAGAAGACAAAAGTTTGTACAGATTTTGACAAAAATTAAATTCACTATATTAGGAGAAAGCTGAGCAAGTTTTCTAGTAAATGAGGGGGAAATGGCATTCACTTGTTTAATAGCACAAAACAGCAATAAAACATACACAATTTTGAGTGTTGAATATTTCTACAGATTATCCACAACTTCCACCATGTTGTAAAAGAGGTACATAATCATTCCCTTCCCCTAAATTTAGAAACTAATGTATTAGGTGTAACTTTTCAGTTAATTTAAGAAACTTCACTAATTAAACCAAAATCAATGTAAGGAGCATTGCCTGAAATAAGAGAAGAAAAGAAATTGCAGTGCAAACTAAACAGAAACTAAGTCCATTAAAAATAAGAACACACCATGGAGGGATTTTTAGTTATGACAAGACAAAAGTTCTGATTAACTAATAACAGGGAAACACAGAGCTGTGATTGGGGGAAGCGCAGTTACGGGTGGATTTCAAAGTAAAGTTCAGTATCACTTTCAGTCATATTGAGGTTTTTTTTTTTTAATGTTAATGCTTTTGATCAATTTGGTGATACTGAAACATCCAATGATTAGGTTTTAGACTAAATGTAGCTAAGTACAGGTAGCTGAATTACTGAATCTACCAACTGAGAATAGCAAAAGTAACATACAAATCTCTAAAGTCATATGAAGGTAGCTAAAACTTTAAAGTAAGACTTGCATAATGAACAAGCATAATTTTGTCATATTATATCGATTCAAGTCCAAGTGTCTGTTCTTGATGCCTTGAGGCAGCTCTTAAAATGGTGCAGCATGTTTAAGGTGTAACTGAGAAGTCCACGTTTCCAGTGGTTCTGATCTGAGGAAAAGACCCAGACAATCTGGAAGACTTTACAGAGAAAACAACACACTCCATGTGACCTGAGGAAGCCCTTTAAGGAAGCGGGAATATTGACATCAGCTTCCTCAGAAAAATTAAAGTAACTAACTACCCATCATTAAAACAATGAGCGATTCACAAAGAATTGTATAAAGGTTTCAAAGAATCTTTTGGTATGATTTAAAATTCTTTAACAATTTTGGAAATAACTTTTTGCTATTACCCCAAAATTTACCACAAGTAGTGGCATGGCATAAGATGCTTCTGGAAAAATGATTTCTCTAGAACTGGCTTTGGACAGATACTCCTTTCTACATATAAAGGATATTTACTAATATCCTTAACTTTTAACATTACTAATCACCTATTCTTACTAAAATAAACTGTAACCACCAAACAACTCACCTTCATATATTTGCCTGCCGCTTCCTTCGCAGTGTGCAGAAATGCCTTCCTGAAACTCCCTAACCTTAATTTCATGTTTAACATGATCAGTGTATAAAAAAAGGTCATCCTTTGAAAACACTTCAAAGATCATAATGTAATGAAGTTATAATGAATTCTTCTGCTTCTCAAAAAGAAATTTACTACAAATCAAGAATTATGAAACCAAAGACTTCTTTGAACATGGAAATTGAATATAATTCTAAGATTGAAAACTATTTTTAATCAAAGGAAATGTCTGCTAAATAAAAAATTGCCATCTAATCTATTCCATTTGCTCTGGTACCTTCTGAACAAATTGCTTAAGTTTTAGGTTTTTTAAAAAAAAAAAAAACAACAACTCAGTCAGCTACAGGCAGTGAAAACTATTTTAAGCTGCCTGGCAAAATGAAGGATAGTGAGCAGGGTTTATTTCCACAGAATCTCCTGGGAACTACCAAGCCTGGTTCCACCCTCCAAAGCTCAAGTGGCAAGACAACCATGCTCTTTAATAAACACAGCAACATATGTGACAGTACAAAATCCTTCCTCCCACCAACTCAAATTACTGTGCAATACTATTTTTTGATCTAAAGTTACTTTACACCAATCTGATAGCCAACCCATCTTAAATGTTAATAAAAGTATGGCATCATCAAACAGCAGCTAGGATAACTTAAGCATGCTTCTTTATGAGCCCGTCACAGCACTTGCTGAACAAAGCACTAAAAAGGGACGTAATACAGCTCACCTTCATTGGGAGATGTTTTTAACCTGGCGCAGATTCCATAGACGTCTCCATAGCTTTCCTGTATCTTCCGTAACGCGTCAGTGGACCTGAGCTCCATGAGGGCCCGCAGCTCTGCGAGTGTAATTCCAAAGTCTCCATCGTGATTAGCTTCCTTCAAAGAGTTTTTTACTCCACCATATGCAACCGAGTTGTTTGCCATGTCGCCCATTACAGGTATAATTTATTAGGAGGAAAATGTTTCCCAAAAGACTCTGTAATTTTCACTTGATTTATTTCCAAGATGAAAAGCTCTTAAATAGGAAAATCTTTCTTAAGCCAAACATTCATTGTATGACTTTGTAAAGGAACATCAGCAGCATTTCCCAGGGAAGTATCTTGACCTTTGGCCCATGACTAGTTTCTTCCTATCAGTCATGAGAGGTACATATCTGTAAGAAGAAAATATTTAAAGTGAGTAAAATCCATCAGAGAGTGTTATGCATATAAGCATACTTTAAGTGTCATTAGGTACCTAATCAAAATATATCATTTAACTGCAAAAATAACAGTCTCGCACCCCTTAAAATGTTGTGCATGATCAAAGTTCAAAGTATAACTTCTAAATAAAACTGTGTAACAAGAGACATGATATTTCACCATTATTAAATAAAACTGTATTTCACATGACCGACTGAGATTATTAATAGTTATCATTAAACACATGTTGCAAGCAATACATTAGGTGCTTTAAATTCATTCTCTCACTTAATCATCACAATTTAATCCCATGAGGTGTTATTACTCCTTACTCTACTGAGAAGAATGGGCCTCAGATAAATTAAGGAGTTTCTACACAGCCAACAAATGCCTGACATGAATGACCTAGGATGCCTCTAAGCTCATGTTCCTTCAAATACACAGTATCCTCTCTCCCCAAACCTTTCATATAGAAGAGTACCTGAAAAGGCAAAATGCACCAGGAACCTTCTCACATGCTTTTCTGCAGTTCTCCTTGGCCACTGTGATGCCAGCACCCCTTGGCTTCCTAAAACTATCTTTCACCTGTTTTACAGTTTTCAACTGATTTCTGTCACATGTTGCCTGCTCAGGTCTTCACTGACTAACTATCTAAAGAAATCCTCTACCCCTTAGTCACTCTTCACTGTTACTTTATTTTCTTTGCTGGCCCTTAGTATTTCCTGTAATTGTCTTTTTCATTTATTTACTCATTTGTTGTCTCCCTCCACCCACAATATTAGTTCTGAAGGCTGGGCACGGGTTGGTCCATTTTTATATCCTGAGAACCTAGAACTGTGCCGGACCCATGGTAGACACTCAGTAAGCATTTCAAGAATGACTGAGTGCATTACTGTAATTTTCTTCACAGTACCAGTTGGTTGAATGGGCAAATGTGGAGCCCATAGATAGACGGCCCACATGAGCACCTGCAGATGTTGGTACTGGGGAGCTGGGGGCCGTTCTGGCCCAGAACCAGTCTCCTGCCAGTACCAAGGGACAGATGTACTTTCAAGTTCTCCTCTTACTGTAACCAACTAAAAACGAGCCCTCAACGTTCCCTTCTCGATGTATGTCCTTTTAAACTGTGACCGCGAAGCTAACACCCCTGACAATGGATTCATCTTGTTCCCTAATTAGAGAGCTCCTTCCCAACTATCAGTATCTTAATCATCTGGGCTTCAGCTCTTAAATCCTCTTTGATTCTGTCCACCTCCGCTTCAGTGGGTTAACTGAGCTCAGTTAATCATTCCTTTGAAAGGCCTCTTCTGTACGTCCCCATTTCTCTCCCATCTTCAAGTGCTCCACACAGATTGTAATTACTACCCTCTACTTCTTTCTCATTCTATTATCTCCTATACAATCCCTTCTACATTTTGAGGCTGTATTTAGTCTTTTAAATAACCATCGTGCCACTCTATCTAAACCTATAGGATGAAAATACAGTCTTAATGTTAATATCTGTTGGGCATTCAAGACTAAGGTCAATTTTACCTACTCAATTTCTTTTGCTCCCCAGAATGCCCCATATTTAAGTAAGTAAGCGTTAAGTCATTCAGTCATGTCAACTCTTTGTGACCCCACAGACAGCAGCCCACCAGGCTCCTTTGTCCGTGAGATTTTCCAGGCAAGGATACTGGAGTGGGTAGTCATTTCCTTCTCCAGGGGATCTTCCCGACCCAGGGATCAAACCCGGGTCTCCTGCACTGCAGACAGACTCTTTACCAACTGAGGTACAAGGGAAGCCCATATTTAATAAATGCTTAGTGACTGGGCTTCCCTTGTGGCTCAGCCGGTAAAGAATCTCCGCTTGCCTTGGTTTAAATTTACAAGGAAGTGCTAGTTATGAATTCTGTAAGACATTTTCTTTCGTTGCCTGCTTCCACCCAAATACTTCACTTCACAATTCCACTTCACAAATCCTTATGCTTGCCCAATTATTACTAATTTTACTCATCCCCTAGGCAAAGTGGGTTCATACTCACACATCAATTATTATAATAAGTCAACTTCAAAAGCTGGAGAGGGTGGTTATTTTACGATCTCTGAGTTTTCCTTCCTAAAATTTCTTGGCATCTGAACATCACACCAATCCTAAAGTAAATCATTATTTATTTAAGAAATAAACAATTAAGATTCATTAGTCTACATGTTGGAAGCAGGTACGTCACCATTCCTCCGGTTTCCAGAAAGAGAAATTTTCAACAAGCTCTGGTCTCCTACCCCATCCATCATCATCGAGCTGAAATAAACTGCTTGACTGATTTTCAAAGAACAAGGAGGTTACTCACAAGCTTGCCTTCTTTGTAAACAAGATGTCTGTAAGACTCACGCAATCTGGTCTGAATTATTGGGGGAAGACCCCCCAGGTAAAAAATCCTATCATCCTTCAAAATGCCTGGGGTGGAGGTAAGTAACTGTTTAGTTCTGGATTCAATAGTAGAATCTCAGTTATCACACAAAACCTAAGTCATTCATTTCAGCTCTTGTCATTAATAAAACTAGTATTTTTATTCCTATGTGCCAATATTTGCCTTTTCTCTTGACAGAATTCAAGCAGGAGAGAAGGGTGTTATTTACTGGGTGTCCCTTAAATTTCTCAACAATAAGGATACATAACTGAGGTAGAATCTGAAACCTCTATTTGCAAATCAAAAGTCATGTTTCTTATACTATCTCTGCCTCTGCTTTAAGTCTTCACATTTACCAGGTTGAAATGGAAATTTTTGTAGGTTAAACAGTCAAACAACACCAAATGTACCGATTTGTATGATAAAACGAGAATTCAATAGACATTAGAGTGGTTATTTGTTATCTGCTACCTCTGCCCCTTCATTCCCATCCCCAGATACCGCCCTGACCATAAGGATGACTGGCTCGGTCATGTGCACGTGACTCAACAAAGGCCAACAGGTGGCAAGGAGGCTTCTGCTGTGACTCTGGAATACAGACTTGTGTCTTCTTACTGAACTTAAAACTGAGCTTTAAATGTGTTTTATGAGCTTTAAATGCATTAAATGAGTTTTAAATGCATTTAAAAGGAAGGGAAGGAGAAAATATGAGTGTCAGTGCTGGATCATTTGGGCTCTTGGGTCAGTCAATACCTAAAGTCTGTGTCCTAACCATGATCTTTTCATTATTTGCCAATAAACTCCTTTTGGGGGTTCTTCTATCACTTTGCAAACCGCAGGGCTTTGATAAGTACGTGATCACCATGTTCGGGTCCCCCTACTGTTTAAAGAAAGAGAAGTCCAGAGACAACTACCAAATGCAAATACCCACTTTCCAAAAGTGGACAATACATCTGAACTACTAATTAACCCACAAATGATAAACAGATCTGTTGTCTATTTCTAGACTGTCTATAACCTCTTCTATTTTTCTCTCTTCCCTACTATTCACTCTTCTAGTCACCTAACTAGTAAACTGACAAAAATGCCAGGGACAACAGAAAAGCTTTGCTCCTTATTTGTCAGCCACACCGTGACAATCAGGAGAGAGGTACCCCATTTAGGACTGAGATACAACAACGTGGTATTTGCTTTGCTTCCCATTGTTCACGAAGAGATGCTGATCTTCCATTGAAAAGTTTTAAGAAGAAATCTTGGAAGCTGAGGCTCCACAAGAGGGGGTTTTAAAGAAAACACCGATCTCCATACATAATTTTCCCAGAATCCCTAGATGATGTCTCTGATCCAAGCACTGTTGGTAATCTTTGAGTTATTACATAAAAAGACAGATGGTTTAAGACTAGAGTTGGGCAAAAATAGCCACAGTCTTCAAAAAGAATGAGATGGATTCCAACTGACACATACGCTTTACTGTGAATGGGCAGGCAGGACCCCAAAAGAAAACAAAAGGATGACTATGAAGTCTTAGGACTGAGTGAAGCTCATAAAGAGACAGTTTTGTTAATGTTACAAATCAATGCTTTCTTTCACAAGGTCACCTGACTCTGGATCATGGAATGGCTGTATGGGTATTATTTAGACTCAACAATGATGAGGACAACAAAAATATCACACATTAGAAAAACTAAAAGAAATAGCTGGACAGTTAAAATAAATTTGGTGATGAAATATGGAGTTGGATGAAACACTGAACTCTAGTGATTATTAATATTATACAGTAACATAAAGATTCCTGCAGGCAAGAAAATATATGCTACTAGAACTAAGTGTATTAGCATAAGAGGAACAACCTGAAAGGTGTTATTTAATGCATTATTGGGTTCCAAATTCCTGACTGTTCTAAACTTCTATTAGTGATGTGAAAACACAGAAATTATATTTCTCCAATCTATAGATGACTTGAAGCTAGGTAACTCAGCAAGTATATCAGATGACAGAATCTGGAAAGACAGGTAGGAATGGGAAGTTAACTAAAATTAGTACAAAGGTATGATCTCTTATATTTAATTTCAAAAACATAACTGTGCAAACATGACATACAAGAAACCCAACAGTATACATTCAAAGACAAAGGTTCAGTTTACTCAAAGCACTGGCTTGATGTTAATTAATTAACATGATGCAAGTGCTTTCCCCTCCCATTCCCAAGCTGTCTTAGGTGGCCCTGACAGGAGTATTAAAAACGAACAAAGGGAGTTAACAGAGCCTTTCTACTTTGCCTTGCACAAACACACTTACAATGTTACAGGATCATACAACACAGATACAACGTAACATACCTCCCTAAATGTGTGACTATACA